GGCTGGATTTGAACCCACCAGCTCAGGTGTATGTGGCTGATGCCTTAGCCGTATGAGCCACAGGCGCCAAGCCTGAAGTATCTTTAGAACTGTCTGCCAAGGTGAATTTTAGCACTATTAGTTACAATGGGAAGACAGGACAGTGGCCACCAGATGAGTGTGTACCCCTGCCTGAGGAAGGTGAGGTGCAACCTGGGCTCCCTCCAGGCAGCTGTCTTTGGACCTACCTCCTGGGTCAGGCCCTGCACCTTCTCCCCCAGTCCTAATTAACAGGCAATACAGTGAAGGACCATAAAGTGCCCCATTACCATGACAGTCACCAAGTTTGTTACCAATTTCCGTGGACTTCCTGTTCACTGGCCCGTGAGGCTCTTGTCTTTTTCCAGAAAGTCCTGTTGCAGTTGGCCTCTCATCTTTGTCACCAAAACTATCTAGAACAATGAAGGGTCTTACTTGCAAGTTAGCTTGCCACAGTTTTGCAGACCCTGACAGAAGACACGACACTCCCGGGTCAGATACAAAGGACGGTTTATTACAGCAGTAGCAGCAGCCAGAGTACCAGCATTGTCTTTCACTGACTCTCTAAGCCTCGATTTCAAAGGAGGCCAAGAAGGATCTGTACTTGGAAAAGAGGAAAAAACCCCTGAGTTTAAAGAACCTAAATCTGGGCAGTAGCTCAGTGGGTCGGGTGCCGGCCACGTACACTGAGGCTGGGCGGGTTCAAGGCTGGTGGGTTCAAACCCAGCCTGGGCCAGCTAAAAGGACAATGGCAACTGCACCACCAACAACAAAAAATAGTCAAGCGATGTGGCGGGTACCTGTAGTCCCAGCTACTTGGGAGGCTGAGGCAAAAGAATCACTTGAGCCCAAGAGTTTGAGGTTGCTGTGAGCTGTGAGGCCGCTGCACTCTATCCAGGGTGACAACTTGAGACTGTCTCAAAAAAAAAAAGGGACCTAAATCTGAGGCTGGGTGTGGTGGTGCATGCATGTAGTCCCAGGTACTTGGGAGGCTAAGGCAGAAGGATCACTTGAACCCAGTAGTTTGAGGTTACTGCGAGCTAGGCTGTTGACACACAGATTAAGACAGAGCAAAAGCTATTAGCGGGGCCATCAATCTGGACCTATCATTAAGGTTTTCCCTGAACACTCAAGTCCATGCAGGTCCCATAACGTGGGCCTTAGGGACCAGCACCTGGGCAGGGTGATGTCTCAGTATTTCCCAGGTTTCCTCAATTCTGTTCTGAAGCTGGAGGGTAGGGGCAAGTCCATGATGTGTGTGCCTGGATGCTGCAGCTGGGGCAGCCCAGACAGGTGTGAGCCAGCAGGCAGGCAGAAGGGTCTGCACTCTCCTGGTTACCTGGCCAAGCACCTTCTTTTCTACTTGAGGCAGGCCCTGGGGGCCAACGGCAGCCCAGCCTCTGACTCTAGAACTCAGAATTTACTCCATTTCCTCTGACATTGGCCTTCATGGGGTCACTGGCATTGCTTCAGACCATGGGCTAGGCCACGAGTTGGGGAGAACAGTAATGATGTGTTTGGATCTCTGTCTTGAGCATGTTGAGGGATGACCTTGGGTAGTTCTTACCCCTTTCTGGGTGCCAGTCTCCCCCTTGGACAAGACCAGTGGTTACCCAAGTGTCCATGTATCTCACAAAAATAAAAGCAGACTCTGGCTAAGTAACAATGGGCCACAGAATACATGGAGCCTCCTAGAGCAGTGGTTCTCAACCTTCCTAATGGTGCAATGTATTTTCATTGTTAAAAAGGGGTCATGACCCACAGGTTGAGAACTACTGTCTTAGAGGGTGGTAAGCCAGACTGAACAGAGCACCCTGTTGTAGAGAACTTCCTGCCACTGGTGTGCTAAGTCTCAGGATGTGCTAGACAAGATGGTCTGCAGGGACGCTTTAGTAAGTGGAACCACCCTTGTCCACCATACTAGGCAGCATCTAAGACCCCCAGGGAGCTCACCTCCTGTGTGTGTGGCAAATAGAATACTTCACATGTGATAGGGTGTCACTTCCAGTTAGGTTACAGGACTGCGGCTTCCATCCTGGTACCTGCTCTCTGGCTGTTTCCCTCTTAGGTCACCAGGTGCCATGTCCTAGGCAGCCCTGGAGGCAGATGCTCCAGGCCTAGTCTAGTGTTCGGGAGACTGAAACCTCATGAAAAAACCTGAGCCAGAGGCACCAGCTCAGCTGCACCCAGATTCCTGACCCACAGACCCTGTGAAATGTTTGTTTTAAGCTACTAAGTTTTTTGTTTTTTTTTCTGAAGTTTTTGGCTGGGGCCAGGTTTGAACCTGCCACCTCTGGTATATGGGGCCGGTGCCCCGCTCCTTTGAGCCACACACAGGCACTGCCCCAGCTATTAAGTTTTGATGGTAATTTGTCAAGCAGCAATGGAAAATAAAATTGCACAAAGCCATTGATCATATGTGCAATTGTGGCATACCCCGGGGCTCTCCCTGGCATTGGGTGTCCCCTGGAATCTTGAGGCACAAGGGAGAGTTGGCCTCATGTCCTGCCACATGGACTGGCAGGCTTACTAGGCAGCTGGGCTTCATACCCTACCTCAAAGCAATCTGGACAATTAGCAGGGTGGGGTGGTACGTGTGCCCTCTTGTCCCTGGTGTAGCATCTGGACTCAGATCTCTGCTCTGGGCTGGCCCCTTGATTTCCAGGGAGCTCCCCCACCAGAAGTCCTGGGTCTATCCCCACACTGTCTGAACACCAACCACATGCTTTGGGCAGCCAACTACACTAGACTCACCACCCCACCTGCTTTTGTCCCTCCTGCCCAGTACTTCCTTCCCTCATCTCCAATTGCATTTGGTGCAGTTGGCAGAGCCGAGCCCTAAAGCCCTTCTACCTCCAACACTACTTGTCCAGGCTTTGCACAAACATGGAGACCTCAGCAGGAGGAACATGGGCCTGGTAAGAACCTGGATCCCAGTCCCAGCTAAGTCTGGGAATTGCAAGTTATTGACTTGGGCTCCCCTGTGTTCATGCTGAGAACTTGGGAAGGGGATAGTTCTGCAGATTAATGCAGCTATGGGAAGTCCAGCCAGGGGCTGCCACTGAATTTTTGCAGTGAGAATGTTTATTCAGAATGGCTCATTACAAACAAAAATATATTTATGTATAAAATCTGTGCAATGCGAGAGATCCCATTCATCCCCCTGTGGCTAGAGTGCACAAAGCCTGCTGTCTCTCATGGCTTCTGAGGCTACACTGAGCTCCAGTGTGGACCAGCTGGGCAGCTGTGGGCAAAAGTCCCTGACATCCAGGCTCTATCTCTGGTCTCGTTTTTGTGACTTGTGCAAGAACCCAAGTGTGGCTTACATCCTGTGACCCTCCGCAGGCTGATGCACCTTGGGCATGGGCAACTTTTTCATTAATCTTACCTCTAACTTGTGGCTTTCCCTGAAAAGCTGTCCTTTGGGCCCAGGGACTGAGCATTTCTTAATGTCCTGGGTGGACATAGTGACTACTCTACCCAGCAACCCCACCAGGGTGTGCATTCTGCCTCACTCATACCCAGCTGTCCCGAACTTGTCACTTCCTTCCACTGGTTCCCTTCACACAGCCATTCTCACAGTTTTACCCCACACTCCACAGCTGCTGTATGGTACTCTCAGGCTTGGAGCCAGAGTTCCTGGACCCTGGGCCACCCAGCATTAAGGCAATGTTGATGAGACCAATCTGATGCCAGCACCAGTCTTTGAAACCCAGTTTGGCTGCTCAGCCAGCAGCATCTCCCTCTGGGCCAAAGGTTGTGCCTGGTGCCATACGGCTCAGTGGTCTGACAGCCCTCATTAGCAGAGCCCACCCTTGCCCCTGAGAACCACTGTGGTGGGGAGGGACAAGCTGACAGGTACAGCAACTGCCACTGTGCCTCACCTTGGGCACAGGAAACCGCAGGAGTGCAGGGATGGTGTTGCTGTCCTCCTGTGCAAGAGGCAGGCCACGGGGTGGGGGTCCCCAGCCCCTTTAGGAATTATCCCTTTCCCTTATTTTAGGTACAGACCTGGGGTAAGACCCAGCCCCACCACTGTGCTAGGCAGACTCTCCCCAGACTGGACCGCTTTCTCATCTGTGAGGTGAAAGGCCTGCTATGCAGACAAGCCAAGCCTCCTCTGAAAGAGAACTTGGCCTGGCTTACCTGCCCTGTGAAGAGGTGTTAGTGGTTCCAAAGTACCTTCACTCTTGCTATTATTTTTTACTTGGAGGTGATCCTCACCCCTCAAAAATGAAAACTCAAATCTCAAAACCCCTAAAAACACTACCCCACCCAACCAAAAAAAAAAAAAAAGGAAAAAGCTTGTTGAAGCTACGTGCTGTTGTGTTGTGCGATCCTGGGCAGATACCCCCTTCTCAGTCAAGACAAGAGAGTTAGCATCTGTGCAAAAGGCCCTAGTGTGATGCCAGATTGGGTGGCCAGCTGCAGGATGCCCTGTAGGACCTGGAGCTTCTCTCACTCCACTCAGAAGATGGACCTGCTGTCAGGACTTAGGCCGGTGTCAGGAGGCCTTCTGGGTGGGGGGACTCTTTGGGGCCCAGGCAGCTGTTTATTCCCAAAGCATACTCTGTGCTGTTGGTCATTAGGCCCAGCTCATGCCCCTGAGAGCCTTTCATGCCACAGGGCTGGAGGACCTGGAGGGGGCCTCAGAGTCCCCAGGGGCTGGGACTCCACAGGGGAGAGTGAGGGCTGTGAGGTGTGTCTATGCCAGAGGCCCCATTACCAGCCATAGAAACTCAGGCCCACTGGGAGGCGGGAGGAGGTGGTGGCATCCATCACAGGGAATAGGGGGTTCTGCAGCACTTCAGGAGAGAGGGGCCTGGGACAGTCCTCACTCCCAGGGTCCTGCGGTCAGCTATGTTGTCTCCCAACAACCAGATGCTGTCTTTGGCAAGTGTTATCTGTCAATCGACTTCTCTCTCCAGGCTTGGTTACAGTGTTGGTGAGGAGACTAGCTTAGGCCTTTCCATGGTCTTCAGTCCAACTCAAAGGCAACAACAGCACCCTTGGGGCTGGACTTCTCCAGGCACAGATGGTGTCAGGCCTGGGTTTCTGGGGAAAGGATCCTGTCAGATGCTTAAAGAGTGGTTCCAACAACCAGCAGGTGCTGAGGGTAAGCAGCATCACAACACACAGCACTGGTGGGCACAGCAGCCTTGCCACCATCTCCTGGGGTTTTCTGGGGCTTTGCCAGATGGGCTGAGGCCACAGCTCCACCTCCCAGCTTCAGCTGACCTGGGCCTGGGCCAGGACATCCTGAGTGGGCCCTGCTGGGGTGGGGGTGGGGTCTGAGGGCCTAAGCACACCAGGTTCCAGCTGTCAGCTGTCCAGGTAGACAAAAAGGATGTCCTCATCTGTGCCATAGCTTGTTCTGGCCTCCTCAAAGTTACTGATGCTGGTGCTGCACATTCCTGCCAGGGGCAGACAGAGTGGGGTCAGTGTGTAGGGAAGAGCACCACCCTGCTGGTGCCCAGGGAAGCTGGGTGAGTATACGTCACACATGTGTGACCACCCCTTTTGGCTCAAGTCCTCTACCCACTCCTTGCCTATTCTGGCCTTCATGAGCTTCCTCTGACCCCTCTTTGGTTTAGCAGCTGAAGTGAGGCCCAGAGAAGGGGAGAAACATTCTCTGGGCCATAGAGCCCGGCTAGGTAAACCTGTGTGAGTTGGAGCTGCCCTTCTCGTGCCCTCAGGGTGGTGGGCAGGCCTGGCTAGGTCAGGATCAGGGGCTGGGTCTGGACACTTCCCTGAGGACTGTGCTGGCTATCTTGGGAGGAGGGGGCTGCAGCCTGTGCAGCATGGGATGGTGAGGTGGGGATGCAGGCAGTGGTATAGGGCTGGCTGAGACGTGGAGGAGGCTGCAGTGGCTCCAGGTTTGTGGGGAAAGGTGGGGATGGAGGTCTTGGCCACAGCAGGTTGTGTGGGAGGGATCGTGTAGGCAGGCATCTGGGACCGTGACTGTAGATGGCCCTACCCCATCCCATGCTGCCCTCCCAGGACTCACGATCAGCGTAGGCCGGGTTGTTGTAGAAGATGCACTCAGTGGCCCGGTTGTAGCCGCGCAGCACGATGAAGTGGCCCTGGTAATCGGGAGTGCGGCAGAAGCAGCGGTGGCTGCTGGGGGCAAAGCAGCAGTACTTGACAGGGCTGGAGCACAGGTCACAATGCAGCAGCCCTGAGTTCACCAGCACGATGGCCACGTGGCCCTGCGCCAGGTGCGCCTGGATGTCCTGCATGCTCACTGTGCTGTGGGAGGGAGGGTGTCAGTGGGTCCTCGCTCGCACTCATTCCCATGTTACAAAGCCTGGGGCCCAGCTCCTCCATCCCTTCACCCTGAGCTCTGTGCAGATGGGAAAAGTCCTGTTTGTCACTGTGGCCCAGGCTCACCCCAAGGCCATGCATGAGACCAGTGGGAGTACATGTGTTTGAGTGTGCACAAGACCAAGCTGGCCCTGTCAGGCCCTTGGTGGGGACAGGAGGTCAGCTCAAAGAGGGCCCAGAAGAGAACCACTCGAGTAGCACATGGAGCCCCACCCCAGCTTGGTTAGTGGATTCTTTTTGCAAAGCCTTGTCTCTCCACCCTTAATCATGTGTCGTTTACATTGAAAACTGTTGGCCCAATTTCATCCCCCAAATCTGAGCTTAGCCAGTTTCAAAACCAAATGCTTCCTTGAAAGGTGTATTATTATTTTATTCTAAGGCTTCTTGTGGCAAAAGGGGCTGCCTGGGAAGGGCCAGCTGGCAGGTTAGCAGTAACAGCTGCCTAGAGCCACCACCCTCACTCTGAGGCAGACTTATAAATGCTGCAATGTCCTGTGCCCTCCAACAGGCAGCAAATCCAAATAAAAACCCAGAAGGGGCTGTGGTCACAGCCCTAGGTGCCCTAGGCCGCGGGTTCCCCACCCATTGGGACTTCCCAGGAGTAGCAGCATCAGCACCCACGTGGCCTGGCCCAGCTCTGGCCACAGCTGAGTCATGTGGCAGTTTGGTTTGCTGCCTTGGCCGAGGAAACATGCCATTTTCCCATTTGGTCTTTGAAACAAAATAGCTGGCTGAGTTCCCAATAACACATACAAGAGCAGGATTCCAGCTATAGGGAAACAGCAGGGACTGGGCTAGAAGGAAAAGTTGCAGGCTTCATGGCACAGTAATTGTAGAAATGCTGGGTTCAGATCACACTGCAGCCAGGATGCTAGGGTGACTGTGGGTGGGTCTCTCTCATCCTCAGTTCCCTCTTCTGAGAAATGGGGACAGGGCAACGCCTGTGGCTCAGTGAGTAGAGTGCTATCCCCATATACTGAAGGTGGCAGGTTCGAACCCGGCCCTGGCCAAACTGCAACAAAAACAACAACAACAACAAAAAATATAGCCAGGCATTGTGGTAGGTGCCTGTAGTGCCAGCTACTCGGGAGAATGAGGCAAGAGAATCCCCTAAGCCCAAGAGCCAGAAGTTACTGTGAGCTGTGACGCCATAGCACTCTACCAAGGGTGACAAAGTGAGACTCTGTCTCTATAAAACAAACAAACAACAACAACAAAAAAACAGAAAAAAAGAGAAATGGGCACAGAGACAGCTTCTTCACTGAAGGAGATGGCTCCTATCACCGCAGCTAAGCTATCATTTGCTGCCTTTCCCTCCTATGCTCATGTAGCCAAAGGTTGTGTGGAATTTTTTCCTCCATTTTTCCAAATTACATATCATGTGGTTACATATTACTAATCATGAAAATGTAAATCTGTAAAGAAAGGGGACTTATGAGGGGAGTGGTCCTGCTGTGGCGTCACAGCTCACAGCAACTTCTGGCTCTTGGGCTTAGGGGATTCTCTTGCCTCAGCCTCCTGACTAGCTTGCACTACAGGCACCCACCACAATGCCTGGCTATTTTTTTTTTGTTGAGCCTGACCAGGGACTAGAGACAGCAGGATTGAGCATGGCCCCCACGGCCAGCCTGAAGGAGGCAGCCACCCACATCTGGGCAAGCTGCTCCCAGGGTCTGCCTGAATCCAGCTGTAGCACAAGAGAAGGGGAGGCCCTGTGAGGTCACAAGTTTGTGGGCAGATTCAGGAGCCAGGCCTCCCTAGACAGCCTACACACTGGGCCCTCCTGCACCTGTCCTGTCAATCATCATACCAGCACATTCCTCAGGCCATCACCCCTTCTTTAGGGTTCCTGTGTTCTGTCCCATGCTACGCCTCTGTGAGCAACCCAAGGGTGGCCTCCGTCTGTCTTGCTCAATTGTGGCTCCATCACAAGCTGGAGCCTAGGTCATGGGGCCCCACTGATCCCCACTTTATGGATGAGGAAACCAAAGCTCAGGGGGACAAGTCAGTGCCCACAGCTACCTAGTAGGAAGACCCAGTTCTGCTCTGTCTAATCCCAGAGTCCTAGCCTTTCCTGGATACCATCCCATCCCTCCCACTCCCCAACACAAGTCTGTTGGTGAGCGGGCAGGTGGGGAGGAAGATGGAGCTCACCATTTCTCCACCAGCACCTTGCAGGCCTTGGCTTGTGCAAAGAGCTGATTCACCCGGGTCTCCTCTGTGTCAAAGTGCTTCCTGTAGAAAGACTGAAGAGAGAGGGCAGGCTGGAGCAGCTGCTGCTCTGGCTGCTCCTGCCCCACGTGGATGAAGCAAAGAACATGCTACCGAGGTGAAGATGGCAAGAGATGGCACATGGCACACCTGTCAGAGCACTGTGTCTGTCCTGAACGGCGGGTGTACAGGACCACATGGAGGTAGGAGCAGTGTGCTCAAGAGGTGGGTGGGCAGCTGGACAGCTCCCTGAGGAAGGTTAGCCACTCTCAGGCTTTTACGCTACAGTAGGTGCTGGACAGGTGGGCCTGTAGTGAGTGAGCAAGGGCAGGGACGTGACAGTATCCTCCAGGGACACCTCAGCCCATAGCTCAGCTTAACCAGGTGTGGTCCTGGAACATACTTTGTTGACATGGCTGATTACATTGGTATTATTTTTCAAAAGAAAGACAAGACAATTTTTTTGGTTTCTTTCAGAATACCAATCACCCAGCTTAGACCTGGCTGTCCTGATGAACAGGAAGAAAATGGGCAAATGATGTCCAGACAAGGTCAGAATGACAGGCTCTGAGATCTTGGGTCTGCCTTGTGTGGTGTGAGGACGGCAGGGAAGGACACAGGAGGTGGCCTCTGCACATCCTCTGAGGGCTGAGGAAGGCGGGGGTTGGGGTGGCACAAGCCAGGACTCAGCACTCCAGATCCTCTGGCAAGAGGGACATCCAGATCACCTGCTCTGACTGGCTCACAAATCCTGCCTATAACCATCTGCCACTGCTCCAAGTGGCCTGTACCTCTGTGTGGTCCCCGGCAGAAAGGCCCAGGAGCTGGCTGTGTACCTGGTTCTTGTAGCCCTTGTCAACACCCAGGGTCTGGGTACAAAAGCGGTGCCTCACACCGAAGTGGCGCATCAGGTAGGCAAGGTCGATGGTCCAGATGCTCCTGGTCAGCCGCAGCTCCTGCAGGGCACTCTCAAACTCACCGTCGTCCAGCTGGCCCAAGTAGCTGTGGGCACACGGAGGTGGGCTCACTCTAAGGGGAAGCTGGCTCGACTGCCCTCCACCACAAGCCCAAGAGCCACCATCAGAGTTCCCACTCCCCAAAGGCTCCCTCCATCGCGAAGCCCCATGTCCTGCCCACGGTCTGCCTGAAAACAACCTGAGGACTGTCAGGGCCTGGGCTGCCAGCGGCTCTGTGCTGGCCCTGGAGTTGCCTGGATTTTGCTCCTTACATCTCCGTCTCTTGTGGGCTGTATGACCTTGGGCAAGTTATTGTCTTCTCTGGCCTCATTAGCCTTGTCTCTGAGATAAAAATCATCAATGGTTTTCAAAATTTTAGGCACAAAGCTCTTTGGCTGAACCCCATCTTTCCAGGAATTCCAAGATGTAAAACAGATGAGGGAGCAGCTCATCTGGGGTTCCATGTAGCCAACTGAAAATTCAGGTGATGGCTGAATTCCCCCGGCACTGTCAAAGTCCCTGTGATAGTCACACAGCTCCAACTCAATGGTCAGCACCCCAGTCTTCTAGGAGACTGAGTCCAGGAGGGTGGAGGGCCCCTTGTCCCAGTCATGGGGCTGCTCTGTGGGCCAGGCCTAGGCACCTAGGACTTCCTGGCTCTTCCCAGAGTTCCCAGCCATTTCCACAGTGGAGACCTGGAAGGCCCACTCCACTATGATCATTTTTGCAGATGGGACTGGGTGCAGGTAGAAGCTGGGCCTCCTTCAAGTGCCAACCAAGGCAGCTATATGCACAATGAATCCCACCCAGGTCTCTCCTGTGCCTCCCTAAGCCAGAGCATATGGTGTGCATAGGGAAGGTCTGGGCCCCTGCCCTGGGCTTGGCCACTCACCGCAACACCATCCTGGAGCAGGCCAGGCCACAGTCCCAGTGGTAGAGCTGCTGGATGATGGGCACAGGCAGCTGCACAAAGTCCCCTGCACAGAAACAGAGGGAGGGTGCAGACTCTTGGCACACAGCCTACCCCCATCACTCCCACTGCCTGCAACCCATAGGGTGGCTCAGGAGCCTTGTCACAGCCCTCTGCCCCCACCCCCTTACGACAGCAGCGATCTCCCCCAAACACCAGCCACAGCTGGTTGGCCCTACTCAAAATCCCCCACTGGACCAGGTCCCACGCCTTATGTTAACACCTTGATGGCTGCTGCCCAGCACCCTCTACCTCCTTGCCTTCGCGCACCTTCAGCAGACCACCCTCCAGGCAGAACCTTCCTTCACCTGTCATGATCTCTTTGCACAACTGGTCCCTCTACCTGGAAGCTCCTGGCTTTCCAGGTACTTGAACTAACTCCTGCCCTTGGAGGTCACTTCTCCACAGTGTCACCTCCCATGGGCTCAGTGCCCCACTATGTGCATTCACAGCCCCTAGGTCTCCTGCTCAGAGCCCTTCTTTCGGCAGGCACCCTGAGGAGGCAGGGACAGGGCTGTTTTGCTTCCTGCTTTCATTCCGGGGCCTGCACGTGGGCAGCACTCAGCAGGTACATGTCTCTGAGTTCACAATGCTCCTAGACGTTCGCCTGACTCCAAAGACTGCAGAACCATCAGGGTGTGAAGACCATGGCCAAGAGGACTGGACTAGTACGTAAGCTATGTAGCCTGTGGAATGTTCCTGCAAGCTGCATCCCCCACCATCCCTGGGAGACTTCTCAGTCTGCCCTCCCAGGTTGTGAGGTGGAGGAGAAAGGGCCCGCAATCTAGAGTTCCAATCCCGACTCTGCCACTGGCTGGATTCCTCTTGCTGGACTGAGTTTGGCCATCCCTAAACGGGGACTTTGGTCTGATTCAGCCATTCAATTGATAAATATTTCCCGAGAGTCTAGCAAGTGTCTGGCACATGTCCTGGAGATACTGTGGTGAGAATACAAAATCTTTGTCCTGGTGGATGGCAAAAACATACGTAAGATAAATAGAGACCCAGGCTAGGGAAGGTGGCAGGGGTAAGCCTGAGAGAAGTATGAGCCAGGGAGCACAGGCAGAAGGGGAACAGCATGTGCTGAGTCCGAGGTGGGGGCAGACACATGGGGTGCAGGGTCCTCCTCCACCATCTTGTGAAGCTGGGCAAAGTTCAGAGTTGAAAGAACCAGAAGGGAGGCTTGGCGCCCGTACCTCAGAGGTTTTAGCGCCGGCCACGTACACCAAGGCTGGCAGGTTTGAGACCCTTCCAGGCCAGCTAAACAACAATAACTACTGAAACCAAAAAATGGCCAGTGTTGTGGCAGGTGCCTATACTGCCAGCTACTTGGGAGGCTGAGGCAAGAGAATTGCTTAAGCCCAAGAGTTTGAGGTTGCTGGGAGCTGTGATGCCACAGCATTCTACTGAGGGTGACATAATCAGGCTCTATCTCAAAAGAAAAGAACCAGAAGGGACTTCTCTCAGCTTGCCACCACTGATGACACCCATTCAGCACGTGAAGACCCAGCCCAGTTGTTTCTCCATCTTAAGGGTCTCTGGAGCGTGTCCGGGATCACATGACCAGCTCCAGGCAGCGCTGTCCCAGAAGCCCAGCTATACCAGACCCAGCTCCCACCACTCCCTGCACGCCCCAACCAGGAGGGCTGCTCTCTAGTCCTAGAAGTCTGTCCTGGCCTTTCTGACCTGCCAGCCTTTGTCTGAGTCCCAGGTTCCTACCCTCCTCCAAGCCTAGCTCAGAAGCCACCACTTGCAGGGGCCTTCCCTGACCCCAGGCTGGCTATGCCCTCTCCTTCATCTGCACTCCTCCCAGCCTGAGTTTGCACTTTGGCTTACAGGATGCAACCCTCACATATAGAGCTTGTCTGTGCCCTGCTGGGTTGCTTACAGTTCATAGGAGGCAGTTCTCCTCCACGGGCATGCAGCACAGCCTATGGGAGGTGGGGTGGCACGAGCAGCAGTCACCTGACTTCTCTGTACCTTCTTCTTCCTCTATGAAATGGACCACTGTAGACACCAGCCCTCAGGGTGCTGTGAGCACTCAGGGCAGGAACGTGTACAAGTCACTGTGCAGGTTCTGATGTGCACCCTTCTCCCCGCTGGGGCCTGGTATACTAAGCCAGGCTGGGCTGAGGCTTGATGCCCTTTCTTCCTTACCCCAGGTGCCTCTAAAAGGAACCCAGGCCCTTCATTCAGGGCCCTCCTCCCATTATCATAGATTCAGTTCTGCCTGACTCCTGCCCATTCTCTGCTCTAAATTATACTCCTAGTCCCTCTGCCATTCGGGCACACAGCAGTTGGAGGGATCTCATTCAGTTTTCCACTGCTCTTAGAATAAAGTTCTCACTCTTTAGCCAGGCACAGTGGCTCACACCTATAATCCTAGCACTCTGGGAGGCCCAGGCAGGTGGATCACCTGAGCTCAGGAGTTCAAGACAGCCTATGGCTTGGTGCCTATAGCTCAGTGGTTAGGGCACCAGCCACATACACGGAGACAGGTGGGTATCAGAACCCCACTCAGGCCTGCTAAAACAACAACTATAGGCTCGGCGCCTATAGCTCAACCGGCTAAGGTGCCAGCCACGTACACCTAAGGTGGCGGGTTCGAATCCCCAGCCCGGACCCACCAAACAACAATGACAGCTGCAACCAAAAAATAGCTGGGCGTTGTGGCGGGCGCCTGTGGTCCTAGCTACTTGGGAGACGGAGGCAGGAGACTCGCTTGAGCCCAGGAGTTGGAGGTTGCTGTGAGCTGTATAATGCCATGGTACTCTACCCAGGGGGACAGCTTGAGGCTCTGTCTCCAAAAAAAAAATTAGATGGGCATTGTGGCGCCTGTAGTCCCAGATACTTGGGAGGCTGAGGCAAGAGAATCACTTAAACCCAAGAGTTTGAGGTTGCTGTGAGCTGTGAAACCACAGCACTCTCCCGAGGGTGACATAGTGAGACTCTGTCTCCAAAAGAAAAAAAAAAAAAGACCATTCTGGGCAAAGTGAGACTCCAAAAGCATCTCTACCAAAAATAGAAAAACTGGGGTGGTGCCTATGGCTCAAGGAGTAGGGCGCCAGCCCCATATGCTGGAGGTTGCGGGTTCAAACCGAGCCCTGGCCAAAAACTGCAAAAAAAAAAGAAAAAGAAAAAATAGAAAAACTGGCTCAGAGCCCGTAGCTCAGTGGCTAGGGTGCCGGCAACCTGGGTTCAAACCCAGACCGGTCCTGCTAAACAACAATGGTCCCGCTAAAAAAAAAAAAGAAAAGAAAAAATAGCCAGACGTTGTGGCAGGCGCCTGTAGTGCCAGCTATTTGGGAGGATGAGGCAAGAGAATCGCTTAAACCCAAGACTTTAAGGTTGCTGTGAGCTGTGACACCACGGTACTCTACCTAGGGTGACATAATGAGACTGTCTCAAAAAAAAAAAAAAAAAGAAAAACTAGCCAGGTGTTGTGGTGGGTATCTATAGTCCCACCTACTCAAGGGGGTGAGGCAAGATGATCACTTGAACCTAAGAGATTGAGGTTGCTGTGAACTATGATGGAACAGCACTCTACTCAGGGTGACAGAGTGAGACTCTATATCAAAAAAAAAAAAAAAAAAAGAATTCTCAACCCTTACCAAGGCCTGCAGGGCCTGCCCAACCCAGACCCCACCAGCCTTATCTTGGCCCTCACCTGTGTGTTCCAGTTACCATGTGAACCAATTGGGCTGCATTCTGCCCAGGGCCTTTGCATGTATGGCTCCCTGTTTGGAACCCCCCACCCCCACTTGCTGTTCTCAAGGCTGCAACTTCTTGTCATTTAGGTCCCACATCAAAATCTCCTCTTCTAAGGGGTTTTTTCTGACAAAGGAGGGTGCGGGGGCCCTCTTCACAATATCCTCTTTGTTTCCTTCACAGTGCTTAGCAAAAGTAACAACAACAAAAAGCCACTATGTCTCCTCACTGATCTGTAAGCTTCCTAAGGGCAGGAACTAAGGTTTGAATGTGACCCCCCAAAAATTCACTTTGAAACTTAACCCTCATTGTGATAATATTAAGAGGAGGGCCTGGCCAGGGGTGGTGGCTCCCACCTGTAATCCTAGCACTCTGAGAGGCTGAGGTGGGTGGATCGCTTGAGCTCCAGAGTTTGAGACCAGCCTGACCAAGAGTGAGACACCCCCACCCCCTATCTTCCCTACCTCCCCCACTCCCCTGCCACCGAGCAGCACCTATTGCTCAGTGGGTAGGGCACTGGCCACATACATTGAGGCTGGAGGGTTGGAACCCAGCCTGAGCCAGCTAAAGCAACAATGACAACTGCAAACAAACAAACAAACAAGAAAAGTAGTCAGGCATTGTGGCGGGCACCTGTAGTCCTAGCTACTTGGGAGGCTGAACCAAGAGAATCACTGAAGCCCAAGAGTTTGACGTTGCTGTGAGCTGTGACATCATGGCACTCTACTGAGGGTGACATAATGAGACACTATCTCAAAAAAAAAAAAAAAAAGAGTGACACCCATTTCTAACTAAAAATGGAAAAACCACCAGCATTGTGGCAGATGCCTAGCTACTAGGGAGGTTTATGCAAGAAGACTGCATGAGCCCCAAGAATTGGAGAGTGTTGTGAGCTAAGATGCCAAGCACTCTACCAAACAGAGTGAGACTTTGTCTCAGAAAAAAAAAAAAAGTGAGGCCTTTGGGGAAGTGATTAAGTAATGAGAGCTCAGCCCTCATGAATGATTTGTTATCTCATAAAAGGGCTGATGGCCCTATAAAAGGGCTTAGGCCATTTCCCCCCTTTTTTTGCCCTGTGAGGATACAGCATTCATCTCCTTTCCACCCCTTCCATCGGGTAAGGACACTGAGACAGCATTGTACTACTATCTGCCTTTACCAGACACCGAACCTGCCAGAGCCTTAATCTTGGGCTTCTCAGTCTCTAGAAGTTTGAAAAATTAAATTTCTATTGTTTAGGCTTGGCGCCTGTGGCTCAAGTGGCTAAGGCACTAGCCACATACACCTAAGGTGGCAGGTTTGAATCCAGCCCGGGCCTGCCAAATAACAATGATGGCTGCAACCAAAAAATAGCCGGGC